TATTCACATCATGTTCTGCTCCCTGTAGGTATACAAAATAATCATCTCCTAAGGCAGGTTTTCTTTGCCTTTGTGATCTTCTTAGTTCCAAGTTTGGTTCTGGATCTCCTACTTCTTGTGCTTGAGCCATGTTTTGATTTTCTGCTGGTGGTGCTTGATTGTCATTTAATTCCATTGGTTCTGCAATTTCAGGTCCATTGACATTGGTCTCTTCAGTGTGTTCTAGCTGAGTGTTGATTAAATCCATTTGAGGTAATCTAACAATTTCTTCATTTGGATTCTGTGGCATGTCATGGTTCAACGTTATTTCTTCAAAACTGAAACTTTCTTCCTCATTTATTTCTTGGTCAGTTTCTATAAAGACTGCTCTTGAGGTTTCTATGAATCTGGTAGTGTGTTTGGGACAATAAAATCTGTATCCCTTTGTTCTTTCAGGATAGCCAACAAAATAGCCACTTATGGTTCTCGGATCCAACTTCTTTTCTGCTGGGTTGTAAGGTTTTGCCTCTGCTTTACAGCCCCATACTTTCAGATGTTTAATGCTAGGCTTCCTTCCATTCCACACTTCATAGGGAATTCTATTTATGCTTTTGGTTGGAATTCTATTTGGAATATAGTTGGCTGTTTTTAAGGCTTCTCCCCAAAGAAAAATTGGCAGATTTGTACAGCTCATCATACTCCTTATCATGTCTTTCAAGGTCCTGTTTCTTCTTTCTGAAATTCCATTTTGCTGAGGTGTACCTGGGTTGGTGTACTGGGCTATAATTCCTTCTTCTTGAAGAAATTTAGCAAAGGGTCCAGGATTCCTTCCAGTCTCATCAAACCTTCCATAGTACTCTCCTCCTCTATCCGATCTAACCACCTTTATTTTCAAGTTCAACTGGTTTTCTACTTCAGCCTTATAAATTTTGAACTTGTCCAATGCACTTGATTTCTCTTTAATGAGATAGATATATCCATATCTTGAAAAATCATCTGTAAAAGTTATAAAGTAGTTAAATCCCTCATGAGTTGGATTTGGAAAAGGTCCACATATATCCGTGTGAATGAGTTCCAGTAAACTTTTGCTTCCCAATGCCCCTTTCTTTCTTAAGTTGGTTAATTTCCCTTTGATACATGGAATGCAAACTTCATCTTCGTTTTCATGATTCAATGGTGGTAAGACAGATTCCTTGCACAATTGTGTTATCCTTTCTTTTGAAACATGTCCAAGTCTTTTATGCCATAATTTGAAGGAAATCTCATTGGTTTTAGTTTGCACAGTGTTTATTTCCATTTCAGTTCTTTTGCAGTTTAATCGAAACATTCCATCAATGAGACTTGCTTTTCCAACTAAATCTTTATTTCTGAAAATAGAACAACCAGTTCCATCAAAATTCAAACTGAACTTTGATCTTACAAGTCTAGTAACTGAAATCAAACTCTTCTTCATAGAAGGAACATAAACTACTTCATCTAATTCCAAAACAAAACCAAATTCTAACTTGATTCTAACTATCCCTATATAATTAACTTGGACTTCTTCTCCATTTCCCACGAACACCTTCACTTCATCCTTGCTTGGCAGCCTCTTGCTTGTAAACTCCTGCAAGGAATTAGCCACATGAATAGAAGCACCACTATCCAACCACCATGAATCACATGAGAAATTAACCAAATTAGATTCGAAACAGACCAAAATCAGATTGTTATTACCTTTTCCCTTCTTCTTTTCCAGCCACTTTTTGTATTTCCTGCAATCTCTCTTCATATGTCCTGCTTTCTTGCAAAAGAAACAACCCAATCCAGTTGTAGGTTTCAAAGCCTTATCTGTACTGTTCTCCTTTTCTTTCCCAGCAGCAGGCTTATATTTGTTTTCCTTGTTCTGTTTAGTCTGAACCATGTTGACCATTTTGGCTCCCTTTTCTCTTATGATATTGTGCTCTTGTTGGACAGAAATAGTAATAAGATCATTCAAGGTCCAGGTCTCTTTCTGAGCAATGTAGGTTTCCTTGAGAGATTTAAACTCTTTAGGCAATGAATTCAGTGCAAAATGGACCATCATGTCCTCATCAATTTTCATATCCAGCTCCTGTAATTTCGTTCCTAGGTCAATCAAGTTCATGATATGAGCTCTCACACAACCCTGTCCATCATACTTCATATCAATTAATTGATTCAACAGGGAACTCTTGACAGCTTTTTCAGATTCCTTGAACCTTTGTGCAATTGACTCATAGTATTGCTGTGCATTCTTAGATTTAGGAATGCTTCCTTTCACTGATGAAGACATAGCCCTTTGCATGATTAACATAGCCATCTTGTTTGCCTTTTCCCATTTGGCAAACTTAGTCTTAGTTTCTGCAGAAGCATCTGCAGCTGGTTCCTGCGGAGGTTTCTCTCTGAGCACAAAATCGTAATCCAGAAAACCTAGAGATATTTCCAGATCTTGTTTCCATTTGCTATAATTTGATCCAGTCAAGGTTTCGATGGAGTTGTGATTCACTGTAGAATTTGCAATGCAAATTAAATAAAACTGTCCCTAAACTTTTCTTAAACATGTCATCTCATACCTGTGGGTTTAAGTTTAACATGTTCCAAAATCCTAGACAGTTAATTGTACAAGCTTCCTGCGTAAGTAACATGTTGATAACAATGAAAAACCTCCACTACCATTTCGAACACCAATGCAACATCAAATGGCACCCATTTACACTCGAGCAATACTTGAAATGTTTGAGAGGGAAGACTTCAAAAGCCTTTTATGCTTGTTTGAACTTGTAGAGCAAGATGAGACCTAGTGCAGGTACAAAGTAAGTGAGCGGGTAAATCCGGGGGTTACACAGATGAAGGAGCTTGTGCATGATAAAGATGCCGATAAAGCTTATTGCAGCTACAAAGGATTTGAATTTTGGGGTATTCCGTGCTGATACATCCTAGCATTTTGCAAGTTGAGCACTTGCCAAACAAGTACATATTGAAACGATGGCTTCAAAGTGCAAAGTGTGGTGTAATATATGATAAGAATGACAAAGAAGTTAAAGATTGCGTTGACGGTTTGCTTTTGGTTAAGATATCGAAACTTTGCAAAGTTGCAAGTGATTTGATTGATTCGGCTTCGTTGTGTGATGAAGGTTTTGAGTTGCTGGAAAAATCATTTGACGACATTCATAGCTTACTAGGTTGGTGTCATCAAGAGCTCATGTCGAAGAAGAACCCAATGGAGAGGTCATTTAACTTACACCTGTGGATTTAAGTTAGCATGTTCCAAAATCCGTAATAGTAAATTACACAAGCTTCCTGCGCAAGAAATTCACATATGTGGATGTAGAGAAAACTTGCTTGCTAATGCAGTCTACTGTCCAGATTGTTCCATCAATGTTGTGATCAATCTGTACAATTTTCATATGTGGACGGAGATTCATACATAAGGCGATGAATACGAATGCAATTTTTGACCAAACTATCGAATTAAAAACCTCTCACTCAGCCTGAGCAGTTGTGGCTCACTCATTTTGCATGACAGTTTTTAAATCATTGATCAAAAGCCTTTTTAGCATAGTAGTAATAACCTTATGCTCTTGATCATAACTTAACAAATAAGATATGCAAATTGGTGAAAACTACATGCTAATATAACTTATGATATAAACAATTAGGTTTAAAATAACTTTTGTGTTTAAAACATGGATTAGATTAAAGAATAAAAACCTAGAGCTTTGATACCACATGTAAACCCTTACTAGGCTTTTATTCTAAAATACTAACCTTGGTCAACCATGACAACTATAGAGGATCTTCTTCTCCTAAGCAACTCTTTAATTCTCTTTTCTCTAGATAGGGTGAGAGTCTGTATTTTAGCATGTTTAGCTGCAAGGGAAGGGACCCCTATATATACATGCATCACTCGAATGCCTTGCCTATTAAGGGCTCGTTTGGGAGTGCTTCTGGAATGGCTAAAATCGCTTTCTGACAACCAAAAGTGCTTTCGACGGCGTTTGGCAAAAAAGTTTAGAAGTGCTTCTGGGCCATAGAAGCGCTTTCTGGAGAAGCACTTGTCATGTGCTTCTTCAGGAAGCACTCCCAAGTGCTTTTTTAAGAAGCACTCCGATTTTTTATGAAATTTCAACAACTTTATAATAAAAACACTTTTGTTAGAAGCCCCTATGAGCATAAGTGCTTCCTAGAGAAGCAGTCCCAAACGAGCCCTAAGAAGCCTTCAAGTATTCTATTTGCATTAGACTAGGTTTGTTTCAATCCATATTGTATTAGGAATTCTATTAACACTTGTGTTTTACTTTAATAAGCTCTATATAAGTGGTTATCCGAACAGCTTGAGTTCTATTCCATAATCAATTAAAACATTCAACTCCTCTTAGGATTAGAACATCATATTTCCAAGACTAAGACAATAAACAACAATTTACCACAAATGATCTCCCACCATCGTCCTACTTTTTCTCCTTGTATACTTAGCATGTTTACTAATCCGTAATTGGATTAGGAGGAATTGAATTAAGGATGAACTAAATTGAAGAGGAGTTGGATTGAGGAGAATTAGATTCCGAATTCCTATTGAAGTTGTTTACTAAACCATATGGATTGAGGAGAGTTAGATTTCAGATTCCCGTTGAAGTTTGTTTACTAAACCATATGGGGTTGGGGTAGGAGTGGTACTAATTACTAAAATGTCATCGTTATTGGGTTAAAGTATATGGCAAATTTGGAATTTTAAAAATTGTGTGAGGATATAATTGGTAAAAAAGATTAATTCCTAATGGGTAGTTCTCCAGGAATTAGAAGACCACCTCCCACTCAAGAATTGAATTCCTCCAAAATCAGGAATTCAATTCCTAATTTTGTGTGGGCCTCACTTACTTTTTAATTCCTTGATGTGAAGTAAATGTAGGAATCCTCCATATATGGAATTCAATTCCTGATGAGAATTCAAATTCCTAATTAGTAAACAAACCATTACAGTAACTTTCAATTGTAAGCAGTATTAGGGAATCACACAAGTCTAACATCAATAGCAAGTGTGGGTAGCTTTGGTGTTAAACAAAGGCAAGAGGGAAATGTTGGATTTTATTTATTTATACATTTTATACTTAGTAGCGATATATTAACAGGACGCATGTAGTCGCTGATATGCAAGCCTTTGCTCTCGATGATCAGCAGCCAACTTGGGAGACCTTGTAGCCTTCTTTTCTCGATTGCGTCGACGGACTGCTCGAACGGAAGAAAGTGCCAACTTCTCCTCCAACTCCGAATTGTTCAAATTGGGAAAATACCACCAAAATTCAGTCACTACCGTCTTCAAGTCCTTGGCCAGTAGAGCAAACGCTTCTACTTTTGTATGACATTTCACATTGTCGGTGCAGATAGGAAGGTCCGAAAAGGAGATGTATGTCGAAATTCGGCTAAGAAGTTCTTCCCCATAAAAATCGCCTTTCTCAAGACACCTTGTGATTGATGATGTTGATGATGAAGAGGAACCATTTAATTTTCCAGAACCATCAACCTGAGTACCTGCAAAGGTCCATATAATTCCTTGTGTGATGAAGAGCATCAAGTCAAGTGGTTCTCCTGCTCGAATCACGTAGCTATTCTCCGAGTAGATCACTGGCTTCAGATAGTTGCATATCACTTTCAACACCCTTTCATCAGTACTTTGAAGCATTGGTACCTATACATATGTCATATTTATGCAATGAGAAATATTTAATCACGTGGTATAAATCGTTCATATGTTAAATAATGATCGTAGACAATACTAATATTTCTCACCTTTAAGGTAATAGTATCGATAAATATTCACTGATATATCTATTACATGGATGAGATATACTTTGCAAAATAAAATTATATAGCCAGCTAGAGAGGTGAGTATTGGAACATATTACGTACTTTCTTTAACGTATCCATGCAGAGGTAACGCTTTATAGATTTCCTGTTTTTCTGTGAGAGAATAGAGAACATATTCTCTACATCAGCATCTTTGTCTTGTTCCAGTCTT